AGAGAAACTGGATGAAGAGTCTTCCGCACTGTAGTCAAAGTTCAGTTTCTTTGGACTAATTAACAAAACACTTTCCAGAAGGCAAAGGACTCTGCAGCCAGCTTCTTGCTAGCGTGGTGGTAGTGACTTATGTAAGATTTCATAGGCTTCGGCAATCTTCTCTATGAAACCTTCCACCTTTGCTCCAACAGCACTTCAGGGAGACTCCCTTTGAAACCTCCCCAAAATAACACAAAGTGGAAAGAAGAAATTAAACAGACGATCTAGAGCAGAGGACATTTATTTCAGTTAGGTTTTGAACAAGACAAAAATTTTGAGAGTTCAAAGATAAATAAGTCACCCCTATGTCAAGTAAGAAAAATAATATTAAAAAAGGTTAAATTTAATTAGTCTGTTTACCACATGGAGTAGCAGTCAGAAGTACAAACATTGTAATCTAAAATCTCATTGTAGGTTTGCACACAATGGATCAGAGTATCAGAAAAAGTAACCGAAAGGCAAATTTAGTAAGACTTGTCTTGCAGGCATAACATCTTAATATTTATGGTACAATACTATGTTAAGGAATACCTTCAATTGCAAAGGAAACCACAAAATTCCCCAAGGCCAGAGCTGCCTAATTCAAATGTTATAAAAGCAATAACAAAAACCACAGGTTTAAAAATCCCTTGGGTTCACAAATTCAGACACGATTCCAGAATGCATTAAGAACTTTTGATTATCTGCAAGAAGCTGGATACTGATGGATATCAAAATAGACAATCATCAAGTGACTAAAAACCAACCACCCAGCACTTCCTGTAATTAGGACACAAAGGGAAAAAAAAGGATGTTCTTCCTTCTGTACTGATTGACCTTAGAACAGGAATTTATGCACTTGTAAATACAAACTCATTATGTAACGGTGCACAGCTTAGCCATAGGCTAACTGTATTATTCTACTGTACATCAAGCCATTCAATATTAGTTTCAGGACTGCAACACAGGATGCATAATTCTTCTTTTCTTTTCCCTAACCTTTCATACTTATTCTAAGAACATTTGTGAAAAGAACAACTATACCACATTTTTTGCTAAAAGGGAAAAAAAAAACCCCAAAGAATTAATAAATAATTATGTAGGCTGCATTTAACTTCTAATTCATGGCAAGGCTGTGATGTGAAGGCAGAGTTGTTCAAAGTAAGCCACTGAACGTTCTAAGACTCATAGAATGGCCTGAGCTGGAAGGGACCTTAGAGATCATTTTAATACAGCCTCCCTGCTGCCAGGGACACCATTTGTCGACTAGAACAGGTGACACATGGGGACCGAATGGGAATCGAACCCGCCACCTTGGCGTTATTAGCGCTATGCTCTACTGACTGAGCTAACCGGCATTTATGCCAATCAGTAACCAGTTAATATCTGAATGATCTAAAAGCATTTTCCACACTCAGAGACCACGAATGTTTGGCTGGCATATGGCTAATCTTAATCACTGTTAGTGCAAGCTCTTAAAAATTTCATTATCAGAATGCATAACTTAATTACTAGGATGCCTTGTCACTTACACACCACCTGCTTGATTCACTGGTAGTATCTGTATACCGCCTGAACTGGAAGACTCAACTAGCAATTTCCCAGTTTACAGGCATACTTAGTATCTCTCAATCAAATCTAGTTTTTCATGTAGCTGCAAATGGCAAACTTCATGTACTTACATACAATTATTGACTAAAACAAGCAGAATGCAATTTACCGATAATGCCTCAACGTTATTCACTTTCAGCTAAAATTAGGTTTTGAAGGCTCTCAATTAAAGCATCCCAATGTAAATCTCAGTGTAAATTAGTCTCTTAACTTAATTCACTGAAATACTTACCTTCTACATTCACTGTAACAGCTGTTAAACAAATTCATTGCTGATGTACATTCAAAAAAGCAGTCTCTGCTTTTGTGTCAGCCTCCTTACATTAGCAGAAAACTCTACATTCCCACTTCATTCATTGCAAATTGATGTGACACCATATTTTTCCTTGTTTCACTCCATTTGCAGAACCAAAAAACCCCATAGCAGTCAGTTCGCAGATCCTAATTCTCATTTCACCAGAATTTCATCCTCATGTCTTATTCTAGAGTCTTTTTAATATTTTGCTCATATTTTGTCCTTTAACATAATTATTACTGAGTCATAATTTCCTCACAGCTTTTATCTGTTGAATAATACAAATTGTCCAATTAACTGAGCTCTGGAATGACAGCAAAGTTATAACATTCTCAACTATTTAATGACATCCTGATATAGGAAAACAAGTTATCATAATTTCCCCTGCTTCCAAAGGTGATTGCAGTAGTGCTTTTCCTTATGTTATTTTTGCTATTTGATACCAATTTCCCCCTCTCCTCTCACACTACCTCCCAAGCTCCTATTAAAGAACAGCACATGTAAGTGAATCAGGAACCTAGGATATTTCAGAACAGCCACAGGGCAAACTGCAGTTATAAAACTTACAGTTTTCCTGAAGATTTTTTTCAGAAAATTTTGAACTAAATTTCATTAAATAAATGCAATTTCTTAATTTTTAATAGCTATAAAATCATACCACACTCCAACTGCTTTTGCTGCTTGTTTTTAATCAAACATACAGTATCGATTTCACACTTAGGCTACATTTAAACTGTAACATCAGCTGACTTTAGCATCTGATCACCTCTGATCTGCATAAATTAGTAACAGAAATCTCCACATTATGGAGCTTATGAAGCTTGTCTTCACCCTGGAGCTTTTTCAACAGCCAGTTTCCTTGAGAAAACTGTTGTTTCTCACACTAAAATAATGAATTACAACAGACACACATATGCACACTGCACACATAAGCTTTGAATGAGGTTCTGGCCTTTTCCTGGCATCTTGTTTGATTAAATCAGAATAATATCACTGTGACACCAGAATTATATCTCTAACATTTAACAGTATCTCTATTCATACTCATATTAGCCTTAACAATACTTGTATTTCCTATGCCATCAGCAAAACATCCACACCAAAACCAATACTCCCACTACCTTCCCTTCCCAAATCTGTCAGAAAACCTCTGTCTAGAGTCTGTCTCATTTCCTCTAATATAGATAATCTAAATCCAGGCTAGGTGTCCAGATTCCCTTTATCATCAAATGGAGAGAAAGAGGCATGTACAGGGTTCAATTCACCTCACCCTACAGTACACATCAGTCTACAAAAGGCCAAGATGAATGAACCAGTAACTGTTACGTACATCTGCTGGCCAAAGGGAGGAGAAAATGAGAAATCTGAATGATATGTGGGTATGTATAGAGCAGGTATCTGAAGTTAGGTGCTGAATAACCCTAGCATCTGTATTGAACTAAGGATGCTGAGATGTAAATCAGAGTCAAATAAAACACACTAAAGGATGACTAAATTTCTGTGTCTGGAAGTGAATGTGGAGTTTCAAACAGGCTCACAAATTTAACTCATGACTGCATTCACTGTAGAAGGACCACAGTACCCTCACTTTCTTCTGGACTTAGTTTAAGTGGTGAAAATTGCTTTCTGCCCAATTTCTTCTAACCCCGTTGGAGTAGTCTGTCTTGAATTAATTGCTTATTTGCTACTGTCTGCATCATGGCCTGAAGCTTCTGTTGTGGGGTCTTCAGTTTAACTATTCTTGAGGCAAATGATAAAAGGAATATTTAGGAAAATGACCCAATTTCCCCAAAGAAATGCCAGACTTACCCAAAGAGAATTTTGACCCTATTTAAAGCAATTATGTCCATTTTTCTTTTGGATTTATACTCTGACTAATGCTACGATACAAGTGCAGCCTTCAAGCAGGGACATTCATAGACTCATATCATGCATGCAGATTTGCAATTTTATGTTCAGACTAATAAGATATTTTTTGTTGAAAGGTTTCTGTCACATGTCTAGATAGTTCTTTGTATCTGAAAGACCACGATGTTTCAACCATTTAAAAACTTACTCAACTTTAAAGATAATGATGTATTTAATAATTGTAAAACAATTAAAATATATAAAATAAGTTCTTCCTAGCATTAGTTCTTTTTATGAATCTCTCAATATTTTCAATGGCCAAAAGCACAGCTACTGGCAGTGGCATTTCTGTATCTCCTTCTCCTTTTCCCTAAACTTTGCAGAAGTCTTTTCTCTCACAAATGTACTTAATTTTAGATTAGACTTTTTATTGCGCTGATAAAAATGTCCAAAGAATGCATTCTTTATGTAAAGAAAATAAATTTCTAAACATTGTTCTATCTAAACTGAATGAAAAAAGGGATTATTTAATTGTTCCATCTGTTGGTAACACTTTAATCAGTCTGAACATAACTTTTATTTCCTAGATTAATCCATCACAGTGACATTTTATCCCAGAGAGAAACACAAATGCTTTAATGAAACGATTCCATGGTTTTCAGCAAATTGCAGGCTTACTAAAATTAAAGTCTTGGATGGACATCCTGTGCTACACATCCTTATTATTCAAGGGTTCAGTCTCAACGACAACTTTGACACAAATACAACTTAATTTACATAAGGAAATTTTGATGTTTCGTGGTTTATTGAATAAAATCACCTTTTAAATTTTCCTATAATTCCATGATCGATCAAACTGAGAACTCAAGACCTTTTCCTCCCCTCTTTCTTTGAAGTTTTACTGCACTGAGAGCTTAACAAGAAGTCAACTAAAAATTATTAGTTTCTGAGGTGTGCTTGTGCCCTCTGGCTAGAAAAGATATCTGGAGTTACTTTTCTACATTGTAAAACACTCAGATCATTGCTTCTTAACTTTGAAAAGTTCTACTGCAAGGTTTAACTTCCACTGAGCTTATGAGAACAAACCGCAGAGAAATCATTTCAGAAACAATTTTTCAAAGTATACAAGAGTAAATCCATATGCTGCTGAGATGAAGCACAATAAAGCATTATTGAGATAATCTATAGTTAAAATGATGGTGTATGACTTATGATTAAGCTTCATTACCTGCAGAGCAAGGGGCTTCCATCTCATATTTTTCAGTAAAGCTGGTGCTGAGGTAAGCATGCTCTGAGGTCGCTTTTTCAAAGTTAAGATAACACCACTCGGATCCTCTCGTAGTGCATTCACCAAATTTTTCAACTGCCACCCCACCTGGTAACCAGTAAAATCATTACAATAAAATTGAGGTACAGTAATGTAATGTTCCCTTTTTAAATAAAATTAGTAAAATAACATAATAGGAGTGTATATATATATTAAAGGAGATTAACTCTAGAAATGTCAAAAATAAATTACTGCATAAAAATAATGTTAACTAAAGTAATTTCTATAATGCTTGAAGATAGATATGCATCATTTCCGGTTTTAGAACCAATAAACTTCTGTTACTCCACTGTAAATGCACAATTAAATCTCAAAGAGTTTTCAAAATTAGCTCTTGTAAATAGACGTTAGAGACTAGAAAATTAAAAAGCCCTGGCTTCTGCATTTACAGTTCAATTCAAAACTGAGCATTTTGTACTCCATGGTTACTATTTAAAGCCTACTAACCACACACAGTCATACTACTTCTACTCCTAGCAGCTTATGCAAGCACAAACCAGTTCAGGAAAATCTTATACTCTTCACACTATAAAAATAAAATCAGAATCACAAGGGTTTAGGTTTTTTTAAATATTAGTTTTTTTCATTATGATTTCAGAAACAAATATAGCAAATTAATGACAGAAATGTAGTGTAGCCACTACTTGAGTACTAGCCTAAAGTAAAGTTTTCCTAATCGAATCAGGACATTTTGAAATAGTCTAAAATTAAGAACTTGGCTAACATGGAAAGCAACAAGTCTATTTATAAACAAGGGACAGAACTTTCTGAACCATTTACTTTGCATTTTTGAAAAACGTACTTAAAAGATTAAAACAGTACAACTCACAAAAATGGCTTTCCATTAAAGTAATGCCTGATTTCAGGTATCTGCCCTGAAATACTTTACAATACTCAGTCTCTGCATTTTCAAGTTTGGCACCTAGAGTGGTAATACACAGAATCATACATCCCTTGAAAATCTGGGCTTGTAGACTTAGAAAGTGATTATTTCTGTAAACTCAGCAGTTTTCTACCTTTTTTCTCTCTATCCCCCTAAACAAATTTTTTTATCCCCCTAAACAATATTTTCCTGCTTTCACAACTTATACAAGAACAATATGAAGAAGAAAATTATCCATTTGAGCAGCGAAATTCTCACTGAAAAAAAATCTAGAATTCCAAAGTGATAAAGTAACATCATCGTAGAAAGGTTACTTTATATATCAATACACTTGAAAACAAATAAATAGGCAATGTGAACAAGGAAAAGGTAGAATTTCCTTATCATTGGTATAGTGCAAGAAGACACATATATTTGTTATCTGTGCAAAGTAAACACACTTAAGTTGTTGTTATTTTTTTTACCTTATTCCTTATTACACCAAAACTCATTCTGTTTGCTTAATATCACTTATTTTAAGAGCTGACACTCCCATTAAGACCATGCCACTTAAGCCAACCCTAATGCTTACCCACCAACTCTGAATCACAGACATGGTTCAAACCTCAGCTACTGTGAGCTGACCTATCCTGTTTTCAACACAGTAAAGTTCACTATCTCCAGAATGCACTTCTACAGTGATATTAAAGTAAACAAAGAAACGGAGTGTTGACAACATGCATCTTTATGGAGTATTTTCCAGCTTCCACAGAAGACTTCCAAGCATGCTGGAACTCTTATTTTCAATCCAATGTACTAGGTATACGGCTATTATACTTTAAATAAAATGAAACATTAATGTAATCATAAAATCATAGAATTGTCAGGTTTGGAAGGGATCTTAAAGATCATCTAGTTCCAACCCCCTGCCATGGGCAGGGACATCCCCCACTAGATCAGGCTGCTCAGAGCCCCATCCAGCCTGGCCTTAAAAACTTCCAGGGATGGGGCAACCTGTGCCAGTATCTCACCACCCTTCCTAACACCCAGTCTGAACCGATCAATCTCTGGCTTCAATCCATTCACCCCAGTCCTATCACTACCCAACATCCTAAAAAGCCCTTCAACAGCTTTCTTAAGATACTGGAAGGCCACAATAAGGACTCCTCAGAGCCTTCTTTTTTCCAGACTGAACAGCCCCAACTCCCTCAGTCTGTCTTCATAGGTGAGGTGCTCCAGCCCTCTAATCAACTTTATCTCAATTCCTACATCCCAACGAAGTCTTCATCGTGTTTCAACTTCATCTAAACCAAGTCTCTAAGTCCAACCTTTGTATCTTAATATTATGACTGTATAAAACAATACCTTGCTATTTACAATATTGTCTTCCTACTTGGAGAGAAAAAATCATATTCCCTATTGTCACTGTGGCCATATGCAAAGTTTCATCTGCTACCCAAAAAAAGGAGTTAAAGGCCTGCAGTTCATGTAAGGTATCTCTGCATGTAAGGTATCTATGTATGTAAAGAACTTTACACTTTAATTCTGTAATATAATAACTGAAGACAGATTTCTGGAGTGCAGTCCTCCTGCCAAATAAAGCAGCACATTGAGCCTTGAGGAGAATGTGATATGGCCCCAATTACAAAGTCAGGATGAAAAATTCTTGCCATTTAAATTGGTAGGAAGCGGAATGCGAAAGCTGTGTTTTAAAGCCATCTGTTTCTCACTGCAATAGCCAAAGCAATGTAAATAAAAATGGAGGGGTTTTCTGTTACACTAGCAGTTTCAAAATTATTTTAAATGTAGAGATAAACTGCATCATGTATTTCAACTATGCCTTACATCACAATAAATGGGAGATTATCAAGTCTCTTTATGAGAGTTAGGGGGATTAAAGACAAAAACAATCACTTCAAAGCACTAAATCTGATATATTCAATTCAGAAGCTCATGAACATAAACAATTTAACATCATTTTTCACAGAAAAATTCTGAGATTACTATAAATTTCAAATTAAGTTCATCTTCTGCCTTTACTTAGTTCCCCGACAGAGGTTTTCTGGCTGGTTCAGACAGTCCTTGGCTGATTCTCATCTTTTGAATGGAAACAACTAAATTGGCCTAAGAACAAGTTCCTTCTTATGTGACTGTCAACAATAAACTGAAGGAAAAACTGAGGAAGCTTTTCAGCTCCCCCATAGTTTAGATCCCATCAAAAGTCATATTGACACGGACTAAAAAGAAGCAATCTTACTTGAGAAGGTCAGGTTAGAAAGTGGAAAAGGCAGTGACTATCTGGAACTAAAAACTGTTTTCCAGAAATCCACTTTACTGGCATATAATCTACACTTTCTTTTAAGTGTGATTTGCATTTATTCTCTCTCATATCTCCTCAGGGTCTTCTCCTTTTCATTACTACCACAGCTGCCAATTCTCAACTTCTAATCATCAAGTTTTTGGGCAGAGCTTTCAAAGTCCCTACTATACCCTTTATCCTTCCATGTACTGCAAAAGCAGACAGTAATAAGATTAAGTTTCACTACGGTTTGAAAATTCAACAGATAAGTAAAAGGACTATATTAACAGACAACATTATTTACATTCAAATGACTCGAATAATCAATTTTTGAAACAGTTCACTATGCAGACCAGGTACCCAGGAAATTGCTGTTGCTTGCTTTAAAGTAAATTTTCATCATTAAACCAAGTGCTATCAAGAAGCAGTAGTCAGGAGGGGTCTCTTTAGTGGCAGCCTGAGCCCAGCATTGGGTTTTGCTGCACAGTGCCCAAATCGCTCCTGGCTGCCAGTGCAGCTCACGGCCGAGAGCAGGGAGGGCTGAGGGGAGCCGAGGGGAGGCCATGGGTCAGGTGGGCAACTGGGAGCCCAGTGCAGCTGCCTCCAGATCTGACAGCCCCCCTTCATCTCCCCTGCCTCTCCCCAGGTTCTGCATCCCTGGGAATATCCAAGTACCCATTACCCCAAAGAGCAGAGGGCGCTGTTAGAAGTCCCAGCCACTACCTGGGGAAAGAAGATGCCTTCATGCAAGATGAGACATATTTTCAAAGACCCCAGTGTTTCCTTGGCTTGCAGCAGGCACATCTGGATGACGATATTATAATGCACTGAAATGGTACTTTTATTCCTAAGTTGCCAAGAACTTTAACATTTTAAACTATTTAAAAGTTCCTTCCAAAGTGATGATCTTTTTTTTTTTTTTTCCCAGATGGATCTATTGCCCCTTTATGACAAGCTTGGAATACTGGTAGTAATCTTCCTTTTTTTCCCTGAAAATAACCATGACCATTCATTGAATCTTTTTCTTTTCATAGCTGCACCCATGACAGTATTCCCAAACTCCTGTGCTCATTCCTGATTTCTGATTTTCTGCAAAATACTAATGTTCAGGCAGCTCAAATACAATTGGACGAGCCTAAACCAATTATTTTTACAATGCTACAAGATCTAGCACTAAATAACCTAGTCTGAAAAGTCTAGCATGTGTATCTCAAATAAACCATTGCACAGCTGCATCATGTAAAAGCAGTGTGCAAATCTAATACACACTGAAACTATATCATCTAGAGGCTGGAATTACAGTCAAATGATAAATAGAACACAGTCCATATTTTTACAGGCGTATTCCTGTTCAAAGGGTCACCAGAGTCCCACAAAAGTTAACGAGAGCTTTCTGCTCCCATGAAGAGATGAAAAAGAGGTGAAAAAAATCATTTTCTTCCCCCCCCCCAGTTACAGTAAGTGTTTTCTGACGTGCAGATTTATAAAAGGGAAAAGTAGCAATATCTTCACACTTTTGAACGAAAAGTACTATCTTTCTGCTAAATATAACCTGCAAAGCCATATGTTATTTTCTAGCTAAACAAATATGCAAAATCCACTCTAGCATTTAATTTTAAAAAGTTATTGGAATGGCAAGATAATCAAAACTTTTTTTTTTCAGTGTTGCCTGTTATTATGCAGCCAGAGCTCTTTGACTTAGCAACCATTTCAAGCTTCAAGCTTTTACTTATTTTTCAGCTAAAAAAATACAATTTCTAGAAGTGTATCCACCTTAAGAAATTGGTGGGTTTTTAGGAACATCCATATCTATCACCCACCTTGCATTTTATAAATAAAAATTAGTGCATAAAAAACTCCTCACACAACACTGTACTTCAAATCACT